TAGAATATTTTAAACCAGGGATTCTTTTCTTCTCGTAGACCCTTTGCCGTGTTTTTAAATTTTTGATAAACCACATGCTACTTTTTTTATAGATTTAAATTTCTAACTATAATTTGTACCTAGCTACTATCTTTGCTGTGAGAAAGTTAAATAAAAAACTTATTTAATTAAATTCATATTTTTTTATTAAATTTAATAAATTTACTTAATTTAGTTATTAAATTTAAATAAAAGTTATTCTTATATGAACGAAACAACAAAACAAAAAATAAATTTAATTTTATATTTATATAATTTTATATTATAAAAAATAAAAATAATTTAATGGGAGGGATGAATTTGATGGTTTGATAATAAGTTATAAATTTTCGGCATTAATTTAGGAATGTTCCACCCCCCATAATGCTCTAAATAAAACCATTTAGTTATTAAACAAAAACAATTTTGACAGAAAACCAAATTTTATTAATTATTTAAATTAAGTAATTATATATTAAGCTAATTACATTTTCATTTTTTTATATTTAACGTGAAAACAAATAAATTGTTAAAACTTTACACATTATTTTAAATACTTTAAATAATTTTATATATTTGACTTATATCATTCTCTAGTTTTCGAATTTAATTTATGCTTATACAGTGGAACTCGCTTATAACGACGCCCAAGGGACCGACCAAATTCGGACTTTATAACCGGTAGTCTTTATAACCAATACAACAAAAAAAAAATAATCCAAGCTAATAAAAATCAAAAGTGACGATATACGTTTATTCCAAATGTTCATTGGTTGTATTTATTTATTAATTTTCTTGTAAACTTAAAAAAATAAAAAAAAAACAGTAAACGAAACAAAAATATGAATAAAAAATAACAGTTAAATATTGTTTTTGCATTACAACAAAACTAAAACTGAAAAAATAAAAAAAAAATTAACATATATGTACATATTGCAACAAAATTATAATTTTTACTTATAGTAATTTGTAATTTTACTTTGTTTTTGTTTTAATTTTAAATTTTTTCAAAAATGCTTTCTACTTTTTTTTCAATTGATGAAATTTCGTCTAATGCAGACGGTTCCACATCATTCATAGCTATAAAATTTCTTAATAAATTTATAGCTTTGAATGCTTCTAATATTGTAGGTGGAGTAATTTCTTCATCATCAGATATTATTTCTTCTGGTTCTTTTACCTCTGAAGTTGAAATACTCGCAACAATCTCTTGGTCTGATTCCTCACCAAACGTAGCCACGTTATTGTCTATCGAAACATAACCATATCAATTTTCAATATTAAAAAAATCTTCTATTTCCCCTAGAATCACTTCGCCAGAATGATCACCAATTGAACAAATCTTCGGTTATTTTATATTTAAAAAAATAGGTCCTTGATTGCTCTCAAATAATACTGAAGGGTAAATTAATGTATCACTAATTCAGTACAGGATTATTTGTCTTTTAATTAATAATTAACCAGGCAAGCTTGAATCATTTATTGTAGCAACAAATGATTCCCTTAAATTCTTATAATTTGAATAATATTGCAGGGTAAATTAGTGTATCACCAATTCAATACAATATTATTGCTGAAAATGAAAGTTCAAATTAGAACAATATAGTTTTAATGTTTAAATGTTACTTCACTTAATTTAAAAATTCTTAACCTATTTATACAAAATTTTGTAATCAAAAAATGAAAACAACAATGGACCACCACCACTATTTTTTATATTGATAATGCATTAATATCTCTTTGACTGAACAAACAAATTACAAATTATCAAATTTACAAATTACCAAAAAATACATTTATGACAATATTAACAAATCTAATTTTAGAATTAAAATCAAAATCTATTTCAAATATTTTATGGTCAACAAAAGATAAAAATTTATCTGATTATGAACAAAGAATGCATTTTAAGTAAAAATAGACAAATTGTTCTTTAATTCTTAACATTTCTCCCTCTCGTTGATTTCTCGTACATCAACTTCAAAATCTTCAGCTTTAAATCGAACTGATGATTCTGCATTCTTTATATTAAATTTTTGATGAGTGATAACTTTTCTGATGTACATGATGACTAAAGCTGCAGCGAGAATAAGCGCTAAATAACTAACGGCAAACTGATGAGAATCTATGGCTGTTATGTTAGCAATACCGTTTTCCTGATGTTGTAAAAATTCTATTTGCGTCTTAATTTGTTTATATTCTGCGTCAAAATTATTGTTTAATGTGTAATTGAAATTTTCCCAATTTATACTGGCTATAGTAACATTTATTTCATCTGGCATGTATATAAATGGTTGACTTATTTCCCCAATGTCTGTAGTTTGAGTTTTATATGATTTTATTGTAAATTCATCTTCTGATAAAGTACAGTCTTCATAAAAGGATATCATGCCATTTCCAGATAGTTTAACTTGATATCTTTCATTACTGCATATGATATTGCACATGTATTCCTGTGGGATCGCATACAGCCAATTGTTTGATTTACGTAATTGCTTCCAAGTTCTTTTGGGCCTTTTTATATTTAAGCGACAGCTATTACTTAAACTTTGTTGTTTAAAAAGTTGAAACTCACACTGGAGACTATTAGCCATTTTGGTATAGTATGGTCGAACTTGTAAGCATAAATATTTTTCGTCATTTAATTTGATGCATTTTTCGAAGTCATTCTCTGATAGTGTATATACTGAGTCTACGAATTTGTCAATCATTATAAATTCTGTAAATGGTTGCACGCTCACATAGCTGTTGTTCAAATTGACTGGAAATGGTATTAGTTGAAATAAATTTTCTTTTGATAATAAGGGGATTGTGAATATAAATATTGCATTTTTTATTCCCATTTTACACTTTATTGTCATCAACCCATACAAGTCAGAAACAGGAGGTAACACTAGATCTTCTGATAGGTGCTGCTTTATTTGTTCTAGATGCATCTGCAGCTGGTTAGGAGACAATATTGTAGGGCTGACTTTTTCATGATGAAGATCAACTAGAATGTCTAACAGCTTTTCTTGCATTTTCTTGAATTCATCAATTGTTAATGATATATATTGCGCAAATAATGATACTACGAGTATTTGATAAATCTTTTCGCTTTGCAGTTTACGAGAAAGATTATTCACGTTATAAATAATTTCATTCAATTCTATTTTTACTCTGTGGAAATTTTTTACATAATTCGCCTGGGATACTTTTACCAGATGTTCTGTTGCTTCTATTACTGAGGTCTGATTTTTCATCAGGTTTAGTAGATATTTTTCATTTGCTTTTACATTTAAAATTTCCTTTTCTGCATGTTTAGCATAATTGTCATCTAACACACCAAATAAAAAGTTTGCTAGATTGCCAACGCCATTAATCAGTCCTCGTTGTTTCCGATTTATAAATGATGAGCTGGAAAATAGTAGTTGATTTCCTTCATTTATTTCCTGTAGTCGATAATTAAATTGTTCAACTAATATAGATGCATAATGATGATCAGTTGTGTTGTTTGTTAATTCATTTAATTTCTGAACATGTTCCTTTAATGACGAATACGTGCGCCAATATTTTGTCAGGTTGTAAAATGCTATTATCTGTCATTCACCTTTTATTAGCTTACTGGAGCCAATTTTGTTAATGTATACGCCCTTGTTTTCATTAAAGTGTGTTATCTTAAACGGTGCTGACGATGTAGGATATCCTAGAACTATTAGCGGTAATAAAAGAAGTGTAACTATAAAAATAGTTGCATTAAATGAATATTTCTTTCGCTTTTTAAATGTATTTGATGATTCAGTCTTTCTTTTATTTTGAATTTTGTCGTCTGAAGCTGTTTCTGCCAACTCTTCTTTGGTTGCATTTTCCCGTGATACATTATTTTCAACAGGCAATGGAGCTAAATTATGTATAGCCCTTTTAAATATGCCTTTGTTGGCTTTTTATTGTCGCCACTCGTACTAAACCATCTTTTCCAACTATAACTTCCTGTATTCGTCCCATTGGCCAATGTAAAGGTATCTTGTTGTCTTCTTTTATTAACACTAACATACCAGGCATCACATTTTGAGTTGACCTTGCCCATTTATTTCTCATTTGAAGTTCACATAAATATTCGATACTCCATCTTTTCCAAAAGTCTTTTCTTAAAGCTGATACTAATTTCCACCTGTTAAATTGGACAAAATTTTTGTATTCTACATTCGGCTCTGGAATCGATGTTAAAGGTTCACCAATTAAAAAATGACAAGGTGCTAGAGCTGTTAAATCATTTGGATCTGATGACAGAGGTCTTAAAGACCTTGAGTTTAAAATTGATTCTGCTTCAGAAACTAGTGTGCACAACTCTTCGTATGTTAGGGGAGCTGATAATAATACACGTTTAATTAATTTTTTCGCAGATTTTACAGCTGCTTCCCAAAGTCCTCTAAAGTGAGGAGATCTTGGTGGGGCGAAATGAAACTGTACCCCTTTTTCTTGACAGCATTTTAAAATTTTGTCTTTATTTTCCTCTTTTGTTAGCATTTTTTCTAATTCTTCAAATTCTTTGTTCAAAATATTTCTAGCACCAACGAAATTAGTAGCGTTATCGCAAAATAAATCTGTACAAATTCCTCTTCTTGCCATAATTCGACGCAATGCTCCAATGAAACCTTCTGCTGTTAAATCTGAAACAACTTCCAGGTGAACAGCCTTTGTAGCAAAACAACAGAAAACGGCTATGTAAGTTTTAGTGGGCCTTTTTCCTCTAATATGGTAATGTGTCATAAACGGACCACAAAAATCCACTCCCGAATGCAAAAATGGTCCAGCAGGAAGTAATCTTTTTTCTGGTAAATTTCCCTTTTTTTGTTCGAACATTTTTGGGTTCATTCTTGTACACGGAACACAGTCGCTGACTACTGTGCGTTGCGTGCTAAATTTTTTGCTTTAAGGATCCAATAATTTTGTCTGGATATAGCTATTAGAGCTGGAGCTGCATGTAAATGCTGTAAATGTAACTAATTCATGAGTAGTTTTGACACAAAATCAGTGCCAGGTAGTAAAATAGGATGTTTCGCAATTATCACAGTAATAATGTCGTCTACGTAAAAATCATCAATAATTTTAGCTGCAGCAGGGTATTTCAACATTTCATCTTTTGCTAATTGCTTTAGGCATCTTACTGCTAAGTATGGAGCAGCTCTCGTACCATATGTAACGGTTTTCAATTTATAATAATTTATGCTGTCTTTTGGATCATTTCTCCACATTATCATTTGTAAATTCTGATTTTGTTCAGCGACTTTTATCTGCCGATACATTTTCTTTATATCAGCCGTAATTACGTATTTGTATGTTGTGAACCTAATTAGAATATCGAAAAGATCGTCTTGAATGTTTGGACCTTTAAGCATGATGTCATTCAACGACAAGTTTGAAGTAGTTTTGCACGACGCATCGAAAACTACCCTTAATTTTGTTGTTGTACTTTCTTCTCGAAGAACACAATGATGTGGAATAAAATAATGATTTTTAGGTATATCATCAGCAGAGACTTTCTCCATATGTCCTAACGTTTCATATTCTTTCCTAAATTCGGTATACTGCATTTTAAGTTGCTGATTTTTTCTTAATTTCTCTTCTATATTTAAGAACCTTCTGAAAGCTATTCTTCTTGATTCTCCTAGAATTGTTGAATCACCCAGAATTGGCAAGCTGACTTCAAACCTTCCCGATTTATCTCTTCTAGTTGTGTTTTTAAAATGCTCTTCGCACAATTGTTCTGATTTAGTAAGTAGCTTTTCTGAATCTCTAACTTCTTCTATATTCCAAAACTTGATTAATGATTCGTCCAATTCTTCATTGGTAAAATGAAGAATTATGGAAATGCTTCTATTTCATTATGGAAACTCATTTTTCCAAAAACCATCCATCCAAAGACGGTTTTTTGTAATGTTGGTAAATTAGGCCCTATTTTAATTTGGCCATTTCTCATGAACTCTGCATACATTTCAGCTCCCAATAGCATATCTATTCGTCTTGGTACATTAAAGTTGGGGTCTGATAAAACGACATTTTGTAGAGGCCATTCTGCAATATTTATATGTCGCTGTGGTTGTAAACTTGTAATTTCTTTGATAACATAGACTTCTATATTTATTTCATAATTTGCTGTTTTTGAAGCAATTTTGATATTTACTCTGCTTGTTGATGAAATGCTAGATTTCCCGATACCACAAATATTTAATTTATCATTTTGGGTATCTAAACCTAAACGCCGCATTAATTTTTCTGATATGAAGTTCAGTTGTGATCCAGAGTCTAATAATACTCTACAATCAATTGCTTCTTGATTCTTTTTGAAGGCCGATATAACAGCAGTGCCTAGAAACACATATCTCTCGGATTTTACTTCACAGACTCCAGCCATATTTGATGCTTCTTCTTTATTTAAATTTAGTTCTTGTTTTTCGTTCGTCTCTTTATTAATATTTTTATATCTATGCAGCAACGTATTATGTTTTCTTTTGCATACTCTGCATCCAAATGACCTGCAATTATTCATACTATGTCCTTTCTTTAAACAGTTATAACATAGTTTATGTTTTCTTATTTCAATTTCTCTTTCAATTAATTTCATGCCCAATAATTTTTCACACTTGTAGATCGAATGAGCTTTGTTACATATTGTGCATCTTTCATTATTTGTTTCGGCTATATGGGATGAACCTTTTTCCCATTTTTGATTATTATTTATTTGTTTGACACCAACTGCTTCCATCGATTGAAATCTGTAATCCATAAATTTCAAAAAACCTTTAAGTGACTGCAATTCTTTTGGTGACTTCAACGACTGTTCATATTGGGCATGACTGTCTTTATCTAACTTTTTCAGGAGGATATGTAATAAAATGGGATCCCAATTTTCAAAAACTTTCAATTCTAAATTTTCCAGCATCATAATGCATTCTTGTGTTGTATCTAACATTGCTTTTATTTGTTTAGCTGAACCAATGGTAATATTTGATTGATTAAGCAACCTTTCTAATATATTTGATATTAGTAGTCTTTTATTGTCATATCGGTTACTTAAAATCTTCCAGGCTGTATTGTAATTTGACTCTGTAACAGTCAAATGTCTAATTAATTTCTCAGCTTCTCCGCTTAGATTCATTTTTAGATATCACACTTTTGTAGTGTCATTTAATTGACTTTGTTTATCTACCATCTGCGTAAATAAATCACGAAACTGCACCCACTTAAAATAATCGCCATTGAATTTAGGTATTTCAATGGTTGGTAGACTAATATTCGGAGTAACTCTTTGTGCAGTATCGCCTATTTCTTTTTTAACTTTCCCACCAGCACACTTTTCTTTTAGTTTAACAGTCATTTTAAACCACTCTTCTTCTAATTCATCTATTTTTTCTGGATCATGATCAAACTGGGTGGGATTGCTTACATGTTGCATAATCTTCTGATAATTTTCTTGTACTTTATTAAATTTCTTTTCTAGTAAATTCAAACTAGCCTCGTAATATTCTTTGGATTGGCCTTCTAACAAAATATTTGATAATATATTTATGAAAGAAGACTCACTCCTTTCGCAAAATTTTATTAAGTCTGGCACTTCCTCGCTAGGTCCAGCTTCAACTTTTTCATCACTTAATTGTTCCTTTTGTTCAATTAAGCTTTCCTTTTTTCTCATCAATTTTTGTTTGATGCTCTCATATAACTTTTGCGTTTTGCCATGATGATCTTGAACGAAGTAAAGATGGTGCAACATTTCGCCGAATTCACTTCTTATTGTATCATCATTTTTCTCATAATTCTTCCAAATTTCATCTATTTTACATTGCCTGTCTTCCACAAGTTTCAATGTTTTTCTTTCTTCTGGTAAGCTATCGTATGCTAAGTTTACCTCTTTCAATTTTTTGGAAAGAACTATCTGGTTTTCTGCTGGTTTGTCCATTATTTATAATTCTTGAAACACGTTCTTGAGCTTCTCTTAATGTCGCTGCTTGATAATCTCGCCTTGGTTGATCACGTCGGGGTCACCACTATGAACAAATCTTCGGTTATTTTATATTTAAAAAAATAGGTCCTTGATTGCTCTCAAATAATACTGAAGGGTAAATTAATGTATCACTAATTCAGTACAGGATTATTTGTCTTTTAATTAATAATTAACCAGGCAAGCTTGAATCATTTATTGTAGCAACAAATGATTCCCTTAAATTCTTATAATTTGAATTATATTGCAGGGTAAATTAGTGTATCACCAATTCAATACAATATTATTGCTGAAAATGAAAGTTCAAATTAGAACAATGTAGTTTTAATGTTTAAATGTTACTTCACTTTATTTAAAAATTCTTAACCTATTTATACAAAATTTTGTAATCAAAAAATGAAAACAACAATGGACCACCACCACTATTTTTTATATTGATAATGCATTAATATCTCTTTGACTGAACAAACAAATTACAAATTATCAAATTTATAAATTACCAAAAAATACATTTATGACAATATTAACAAATCTAATTTCAAAATTAAAATCAAAATCTATTTCAAATATTTTATGGTCAACAAAAGATAAAAATTCATCTGATTATGAACAAAGAATGCATTTTAAGCAAAAATAGACAAATTGTTCTTTAGTTCTTAACACCAATATCATTATCAAAATTTTCAGTTGCATTTTTTATTTCTTCATAATGTACATTACATTGCTTGCTAACATTACATTGCAGCATTGTTTTGTCGCTTTAACTGACAATTAAAGCAAAATACAGTCGAACTCGCTTATATGCACACCCATTTTGGCAAACTTTTTTGTGCATATATCCATATTGTGCAATTATCCACTTCACGCTTAATTGCAAAAAAATTGCATATATGCGTTTGACGGCTATATGCAAAAAAATTGCAATTATGCGTTAAACCTTTTTTCGAAAATTGTTAGTCCCACATAAAAATTGTTTATTCATATTAATACACGTATGTATTATGTAAATCTATTTGTAAGTTTTATTAAAAAATAAAATTATAATGGTTAACAATTCATTAGTTTGAATATAAAACAAAATAAAAATTAAATTTGTTTGTAAAAAAAAGCATTTTAAGGAATTGCATAGTTAACATATAGATCTGTTTACGTTTTGTACGTGTTATAAAAAAAAAGTAAAAATGACTAACAGAATTGTACGTACAGAATTGCATTGGAACTACTTTAGACATACATGTACACATGTGCATGTATAGTATGTACATATCACAATTATTTTATAAAAATAATTCTTTAATTATTTTGGCTTAAACAACAATCAGATATTTTTTTCTGTTTCAATTCTTTGCCTTTTAAATATTCTGTAATAATAATATCTTCTAAATTTTCTATACCTTCGCATGTTACAATATTTTTACAGTTTTTAAAATAACTTTGAATGATTTTGAATGAGTTTACAACTTCTTTCATTGTATACATTTTGGTGGCAATAGAGTTTTTACAAATTTCTTCATTTTCAATAGGATCATCTACTTTTACAGCTTCAGGTTCCTCCAATAGTTCTTCAATTATTTCGGAATCTGTCATTTCACCATAACATTGAATATTTGAATCAAGCTCAACATACTCTTGGAACTCCTCTTCACTCATACAAAAATTATCAGATTCTACCTCACAATTGTCTAAAGTAATATCGTCAACACTTTCATGGTCCTTTACAAATTCAGCTTTTCTAAAACAAGATTTAATAGTGTCAGATTGAACCAACCCCCATGCTCTCTTAATCATGTGAATTGCTTTTAAAATGTCAATTTCTTTATAAAAATCCTTTAGAGTTTGACCATTATCTAATGCAAAAAGTTGCTTCCTTACCAAACACGTCTTGTACTGAGCTTTAAAAGATCTGATAATTCCTTGATCTAAAGGCTGTATAATTGAAGTAGTGTTGGCTGGTAAAAATTCTATTTTTATATTACTTAATTCAACATCAATTCTGTGACATGCCGCATTATCAACCAAAAGCAAAATATTTTTCTGTTGTTTCTTCATTTTATTATTTAGGTCAATCATAATTTGATTCCATATTTCAGAAACCATCCACGCTTTCTTTTGAGAAAAATAAGGTAGGGGCACTTCTTTATTTCTAAAAGCACGTGGGTTTTTCGGAGTTCCAATCACAAAAGCGTATTTCTGAGTACCATCCATGTTGCATACAAATAAAATAGTGAGACGATTTTTTTGCATTTTGCCCCCAAAAACCTTTTCTCCTGCAAAAGCTAACGTACCTTGTGGAAGAGCCTTATAAAATAACCCCGTTTCATCGGCGTTAAACACGCAATCGGGTGAATAATCTTTTAGCATTGTTTTAAGAGTTGTACTGGTCCACGTTCTTGCAGCGTCTAAGTTCGCATCATTTTTTTCGCCCATTATCCGATGAAAATTAATGTTTTCTCTATTTTTCCACATATGAAGCCACCCATTATTTGGTTCAAAATTATTCACACCTAAAATTTCAGCAAATTTTTTTGCCTGCTCCAATAACATTGGACCGGTTATATTAGCATTTTGCATCCTTTTTTCGGTAAACCATTTTGTCATTGCTTGATCTACATCATGATGACTTCCTTTTCTCAACCTTTTTGTGTTTAAATTTTTGTTTTGATGAACAATACTATTCCAGTTACTTTCATTTTGCAGAATACGTGTAATTGTAGATAAATTTACATTATATTTAATAGACAATTCTTTTCTGCTCGCTTTGCCTTCTTTTATTTCTTCTACAATTTTAAGTTTTTCTTTTACGTTCAAGCTGGTTCTTTTTTTAAGTTGATACGACGCCATGCTAATACATATAGATATATTAGAAATAATAAATCTGTTTAGAATAGTTTACTTACATAGGGTTTTATAAAATTTATTTACATTGCATAAATGTAATTCAATCCGTACAAATTTTAAATATTACGTCCGTATTCACCCGCCTTTTTGACACTTCAATAAATTTCAAAGTTAAATTTTTATGTCAAGTTTGTACTAGGGATGACAGTGTATTAGGGATATATTGAATACTAAACTTTATTTTCTATGTCTTACACCAGATGGCTCACACCAACATTTTTTTATTATTTAATTGTAAAAGAAAATTTTGTGCTTATAAGCGAAAACTTTTGTATGAAAAAATTACAAAACTGTCAAAAAATTGTATGCTTATAAGAGTTTTGTGTTATTAAGCGAGTTGCAGTTAAGCGTTATAAATAGTATGAAGAATTATAGAAATTGCATGTGGGCAAAATATGCTGTGCGCATAAAGGAGTTTTGCTTATATGCGTGTTGCAATTAAGCGAGTTCGACTGTACACAAAACAAACGAAAAATTGTGCACAAATTTATGTACATATATGAATAAAGGTGTATTGTAAAAAAATTTTATTTTTTTGTGTTTTTTTTCTTCTTTTTTGAGTTTTTGTATTTTTTTTTTATTTTTTCTGCTTTTGCGTTTTTTTTTTGTTTTTTTCCGATTTAAAAATCATAAAACTCAAAAAAACAAACAAGTTGTAACATCCAATACGATCGCTATAGACGTGTCGTTGTTATAAGATTTTTTTTCTAAGAAAATGTATGTGGGCCAACCAAATGTTGGAAGTTTGGTCGTTTTATTAGGTTCGTCATTGTAGGTGACGTTGTTATAAGTGAATTCCACTGTGATTTAATTTATTTGAAATTAAAATTTTAGGTAAAGTTATTGAATTTTTATTTGTGCCCTATGTTTGTTTTGCTTTTGATAATTTTTTCAAATATCTTTAAAAAAAGGACACTTTTATTTCTGTGTTGTAAAGTTATTATATTGAATGGTGGATACCGTATGCAGAAAGTTTCAATTATTCTTAAAAGTTGATTTTATTTCTTAGTCACATTATAAGATAAGAAATGCCTTTTAAAACCTTTAACGATTAAATTCTCGAAGCAATAACGATGGTGGGCTGCGTGGTTAATTTTTTGACACATATTCCAAAAAACTTGAAAAAACTTCTTGATGACTGTATAAAACATTTTTACTAAAAATTTAAAATAATGCAAAAAAAAACAATTATTATCTATTAAGTAATCAATTTTCTTATAAATTTAATGTTTTTAATGAGTACTAAGTTTTGGCAAAATTTGTTTCATTTTTTATAACTATTTAGATTTACACATCAATATTTCAAACACCGTTCTGATAATTTGCAAGGTTTGCTTATGTTTTGGAAGTTTGCAATATTTTTAATAATTTGTGCTTCTCTGACATAATCTGTAACTGAGCAAATTAATAAATACAATTAAAGTGACATAAATAAATTTAGGTTAATCTAAACTGTTATTTCATACAACTATGCTGATCATTTTATTTTCTTTTGCGTAAAATAATAGTTTAGTTTACTTCAAATTTATTTTATTTTATTTGTGTTATATTTATTTTCTTCAATTCTGGAAAACAAGCATTTAGTGTTTAAATTGTATAATGTTTTGAGAAATTAACCAAGCCCAAAGCACAAACTAAACGGTGATTAAAATATTAGTACATAAATCTATCTATATTTTATAAAATAAACAAGGGTCTGATAAAAATTTGAGGCACCTGAAATTTATTAAGAATTATTTACAAAAAAATTAAAGTTACCATTTGATAATGTTAATGTGACTTATAATCGATAATCGATGGTTTCCATGATTTCTTTCCATCTTTTACAAGTTGCGGTTTAAGTATTGTATTCAGTAAAGTTAATAAAGTGAAATTTCTGGAATCTATGAAAATATAAATTAACTAAAATTTTTCAATTATGTATGTGGCTATCATCAAATAATTGTCTTTGTTAAGGTTACCTTGTGCTACTTCCAAAAGCTCCTTATTTTGCGAATCTTTAATTTGGTTTAAATGCAAAGACACTATTTTTTCCGCCATTGCTATGATTTTCCGCTTTTATTAAATGATGAAAGTCAAGTCCTAAATATAATTCGTTGTCCAAATATCTCTGTGGGTATAAGTAAATTTATATCATCTGTCGTAAGACTTGTCAGTACATCAATTTTGATTTTTCTTGCTAAAAATTTAAATTGTTTTGTTAAGGTTAAATATTGTGAGCAAACTACAGAATTATCTACTTATTTTCTCAGGTAAAATATTAGAAACATTGTAAATTAAGTTAGTTATTCGTGTATTAATGTGGGTGTGTGCATATACATAATTATTTTATTACGAGATATTAGACTGAATGCAAAACAACTTTTTAAAGTTGTACAACTTTTGAACTTATATGTATATGGTATCGATTTATAGTTCTAAATATTATTTATAAAGTTTTTAGTATTCTAAACTTTCCACTTGTGCTAGAAGTACATATGCTGATATATATACATATGAAAATATGTAAATAGGTGTGTATATACACATTTTATATATAAATACAGCAGGAAATGCAGGAATTAAATTTATTTATATGCAATTATATGCTTATTTATACGTATTTATAAATCTATATCTTTTAACATACATACTTGCAAAATTAATTTAAATACTTTAAGCTCCAATTTAGTAACAAGGATTATGTTGTTTCGCAAAAGTTCAGAAACTATTTCGAATGGTATTGCAGTCAAGGTGCACTCTTCCAATATTTCACTCATTGTAACAGGAAAATTTGTTCTTTAAATTTATGTAATATATTATATGTATATGTGTATGTTTGATGATAGAAGTTTCAACTTGATGATGAAATTACTTCTAACATAAAAAATTTATGACACTTTGCTATATTTAGTTTACAAATCCTTACATATTGTTTTAAAATATTATAATATTCAACAAAAAGGTATATTAAAGTATGCGACACTTTATCACTTTTAGTTTTATATATTAATATTTATTTATTACACTTTTTATTAAATTATTTAACGAGACAAGAGGTACTCTTATCCTCTTACAAAAAAAAAACAAATTTATTTAAAAAAAAATTACGGATTATTATTACGATTGGTTTTACAGTTCAAACTTAGACTAAATTATTGTTCTGACATTACATCTGTTTATAACTAAAATATTCTTAATCTATATTTAATTTCTTGTTATTATGTTATGAGGACAAAGAAAGTTTTTTTTGTTTTTATTAATTGTGGCTGTCCATGTACTGTCAGCCAAAATTTCCTGAACCCTTCACCAAAAGTGTTTAGGTCGAATTACAAAGTATTAATATGTATGATGATATTGAAAAAAAGTTAATTTTTGACTTTAAAGAAAAAGTAGACGATGATATTGTATGTTGTTATTGTTGATTTGTGATCTACATCAGATGTTGTTCCATAAGTTAAGTGCCTTCAGTAAGCGTGTGATTTGCGTCCGGTCTTGGATATGGTCACGACATAGAGCTTCTACCGGGGAGGTATTGGTGTTCTTCCAGTTCATTTTAGTTATTTTGCATATTGTTAATCTGACCATTAGTGCAGTGGTTATGGCACCGGTCCTTTATCCGAAGGGCCGCGGGTTCAAACCACGGTCAGGTCACTATAAAAATTATATTCAATATTATTATAACATAATATACAATACTAACAAATATTATACAAGTAATTTTCAGATATTCATAATATTCGATATTAAAAAAACTAAGAAAAATAAACAGTAAATATTAATAACCTTAAAATAATTGGAATATAAATAAAAACTATGGCAGGCTAGACACCTACCTAGTTAACTGTATAACGCTATGAAACTAGTGCCTGATTATCATGCACTAGCCCTATGCTCCTTCTAGGAGTGAATAAGGGAAAAAAAAAGAAAAAAAAAATATGTGTTCATCCGTGTATGGGGTTTTGCATGCGGTGCAAATCAGTCTGTTTGCGCCCGTAAAGTGATATCCATGGGAGAACATGGTACAAGTAGTATAATAGTACTTCTCCTATTGATTTCATATATAAAAATAACGTGATTGAATGAAAGGCTATTTCCCCATAGCACTTCTACGAACAATCCAATATACAAAAAAAAAAGCTCGAGCTATTAAAAACAAAAACGATAAAATAAAAAATAAAAATTATCAGCAATGCATTTAGTGAGAATTAAAAACAAGAGAGAAACTGCGAAAAAAACAACAAAATAAATTACAATGCAAGTTTGCATGCATTGAAATGTCGATCAGAAAGCATAATAAGAGAGATATCGCGAAAATAAAAACATCAATACAAATTCAAATAAAATAGCAATATGAATAACAATGGAATGTCAGCAAAGTCTCGATGCTAATAATGTATAATTAAAAAAAAAAAAACAAAAATATGCATCACAATGTAATATGCACAATGAACCTGAAAATATTGCTGTAAATTTTATAAAAAAAAGACAAATTTTTCATTTTTTAAGTTTTTTACTGCATTAAAATATGAATTAGTGATTATTATTTAATTTTAAGGTTAAAAAAAATGTATTTTATTCTTTTTTAGATTTTACCTTAAAATATTACAAAATTAAAATCAGCTTTCTATTCCTCTTCAAAGAATTTCAAAATTGGTGTTTAAAATTCCGTATCGTCTCGCCCCGTCATGACCATTTTTAACTTAGGAGATATGGCATAATCCATTATTTTCTTGACAGTAATAAATGCAGAGTATCTGGTCGGTAAAAAATATTGGTGGGTGTCTGTTTCGAGTAGAACTTTCTTCCCATATTTAGTTTTAATAACAACGGCTTTTGTTATACTGTAAACCTTGTGAAGTTCCAAGTCCTCGCTTTTAATCAAAGGCTTGTATGATGACACATTTGACGCTTCTTTTAACAATTAGTTGAAATTCAAGTTTTGAAAAGAAAATAAAAGTTAC